TAGACTCCAGGGATAGTGGCAGTGAAGAGGAGAGCAATGAGGATGATCCCCAATGTTAAAGGATTGAGCTATGAGCAAAGATTGGATAAGCTTTTCCTTCTTAAATAAGTATCTCAGAGGGACCACATAGAGATATATTTTAATTTTAAATGAGATTCATTACTTTTAGAATGGATCAACGCATAGAACAAGAGGATATTGGTTTGGGATTTGCACAGGGCATTTCAGGACAGAGACCAGGATGCTTTTGTTTAACCTGAGGATAATTAACGACTGGAACGGGTTGCCAAGAAGTATGGTTTAGAACTTCATTTGGAACTCCATCCCACAATCCCTTCGCCTTTCTCCCTCCCTTACCTCCTTCAAGGCACGACTGAAGACCCTCCTTTTCGACTGTGCCTTCAGCCACCCTCCTACCTCTCTGCCCTCCCTCACCCCAACCCTGCCCAGCCCCCCCACCCAACCCCCACGCTCAGTTCCTGATCCCTGACTGTTCAGCGCCTTGGGACATCTTCCCGATGTAAAGGGCGCTTTACAAATGTAATTTTGCTGTTGTTGTATTTGGAAGGCTTGAATCAAATGGGCCCAAAGGATCTTCTTCATCCAAAAACAATCTTGTGAGAGTTCTTTTGGAGCATGTTCTTTATGACAATTGATGAGATATTTTTGATGAAACCAATATGAAGGGCTTCCCATTTTTGGTGTTTTAATAGTCTATAGCATATTTAAAGCTAAAGTTCAGCCAAGTGCTTACCACTCAAAGCGAGGGCATCTTGTGAACAGATAGTACATGCATATAATGCAATACAACGGTTTATAAACCCTAAGATTTTGATCTGAGTAAAGCTGTTAAATTGTATTTAACTGTGTTACAATTATTGCACAAATAAGATTTACTTGCTTCACCTGTAACATATACAATATATTCTGTTTGCAAAGTTATAAAACATACATTCTATGTTTTTAAGCTTGTTAGGAAACGCATTTGCCTTGGTTCTGACTAGTTTTTAACAGGTTCCCTAATGCGGTGCATGTGTGCTTCTGTATAATTAATGGTTTTGTTGATAAAATGTAGGTCTGTTTGTTCAGCCTGTTGTTTATTACATATGCTTTTGTGCTGGCTGGTGTAACGTGCTCTTTAATGGGGTGCAATCGGACATACATACAATTAATGGTTTAGTTGCTAAAAAGTTTTTGAGTTCAAGATTTCCACTGTGGTCAGCTTTGTGACTGTAATGATAAGTGGCACAACTGCTCGACAAGAAGACTGTTCTGCGTTTCTACCATTAACGCTAACCTTTGTGTCAATCTGTGAAATACTGTCAGCAACACAGTTTGTGTCAGCACATAAATATTTAAGTATCATGACAAACGCATTATCAAAGTGTGTCTGGCATGAGTGAATGACAGGCTCCCGGCAGCCTTATCGTTCTTGGACTGAGCAGACAATTCCTTTAAACCTTTAATTTGTAAGTACGTGCGCACTGGTTTTGTTTTCACTTTCAGGATGCGTAAGTGTTAGTTGGCAAAATATTGAGCTCAGGGTTCATGTTGACCACTTTATTTTGAAACTGCTTTCTGGCAGGTAAAGATGCGTATTTCACCTCTGAATTTCACAGCAGAATGATCCCACAAGCCGACGAATGGAACAGTAATGAATGCTCAAATTCATGAAAAAAATATCATTACCCAAAGTACCAGAGATTTTCTTTTCCCCTCTACTTAATGGAAACGTGTGGACTGTCCTAAAGTAAATCATTGACAGAAGCACAGTGCCTATAGAGTTCAGTAGCCGCATACAGTCAAGGTTTTGTGTCTGCTGATTCTCAGAGGAAACTTGCATTGGAAGTTGTAGACAGCTTTTGCTTAGCTTTAATATCCTCTCAATTATTAAATACACTGTGTGCAGATGTGTGCCAAGTCTCTAACCCTTCACTTTACATTGTTGTGCTGACAGATGCCCGAGCCCCTGGGTAAAGCTAGGTATTAAGCTCTGCAGATCAGTATGGAAAATGCTCGAAAGATATTGAAGCTCAGTTTTTAAAGTACCGCTTAAAAAGGGAAAGGAGATTGGACAAAGAAGCAGGAAACGGGATGTAATAAACAAGAGTCTGAGAACTGAATGTGTCCCCTTTAAAATGTGACTCTTGACTCACCATCAGCTGGTAGTTCACTGGCCATCCCAGCATTTCGTTTTGTTTCTTCACATTGCTGCTAACTTTGAGGCTACCACCATATTTACTGTGATGGGGTCATCTGGTAGTTGAGCTAATGGGGTACAGGATTGATTCAAGGACTGGAACCTGCATTTCCTCTGTTTCTTCACCGGTTCCTCCTTATTTGCACACTGATCTGCCTGCACTTCCCCTTGTAGTGTCCTGTGCATCTGCACATTTGGGTCTCTCTGCTTCTTGTATTTTCTTTGTTTTTACTATTGAAATGTACAGGGTGTTCACAAAGTCTTGTTACCCCATTTTTTTTTATACAGTGCACTGACCAACAACTGAAACTCCATGTTTTCATTGTAAGAAAAAAACATAGGGGATAACATAGAATCATAGAATTTTACAGTGATTCTATGATACCTGGCGTCCATTTGGAGATAGAGCAGCTTTACAGGCACTTTGTCTCATACACTGATTGATGCAACCTGGTCAACCTTAGATACTTTTTCCTTTGTACATTGATTCAGCAAAAGAGCTGCTGAATGAGTACACTTGCCAGTGGCCCCACAGCCGAGACAATGCCCAAATGAATAAACTGGCAGGGCAAGATTGGGCAATTCAGTCAACTCAATAAAGTATAGAAAAATAGTAGCAACACCCAGAGTGAGATAAATAATGCACTACCATGAAACTGTATTTAATAAATGGAACTGATTTCGTAAATATCAGTCGGCCACAAGCTTTTTGCCATTTCTTCAATGTCTAGACATCATAAACATGAACGACTAAGAATGTTGTGCTTTTTCTCAGCATTCAAGTTGTCAAAATTTGACTTTATTATAATATTGATACTTATATTGATATAGTGCCTTTCACGTTGAGAGGATGTCTCAATGTGCTATACAGGATTTTACTGTAAAATGTAGTGATTGTGTATTTTGTAGCCAAATGTGGTAGCCTCACAGTGTCCCACAATCATCCATGAAGTGAATGCCCATTTTTTGTCTGGGGGATTGTTGATCAGGATACCGGGAGAAACTCATTTTTTGAATAGTACTGTGGGATCCTTAACATCCACCTGAACAGGCAGTCGGCACCTTAGTTTATACCTCATGCGAAGGGCAGCAAATCCAACAATGCAGTGCTCCGCCAGCACTGGACTGGAGCGTCAGCCTGGATAATATGAGTCCAAAGTCCTGACATGGGGCTTGATCCCACAACCTTCTGACTCAGAAGCAAGAGACTGATGCTCAATCCATCTGAAATAATTAGGTTCGTTTTGGGTTGGTTCATTCTTTAATGTTTAAGTTGATTGAAATTCCCCCACTCGGCATTCAAATGTTGGGTCTAAACTGTGTATTGTGATGTTTCCATTGGCACAGAGGGAGTGGAGTCAGACAGACTTCTGATTAAATTCCTAACCAGAATTCCATGTTGCTATTATTGAAGTTATATTGGAAAAGCAGCTGTGGGGTATTAGTGAGGGATGTGATCATGAGTGAACAGTGATCTGTTGTTTTGGTTGTGATGGATATTGCTGGCAAAAAAAACATCCTAGGAATGTTTCCTATTCTCACTTCAGGGTGATGTGAAGTGTAAGGGGAGTACTTGTTGTCTGACGTGCTCCTTCATTGTATCCCAGAAGTTTAAGTTTTGCAGAAAATGTTTTGGAGAACATTTTGGCTATTTTGTGAAGTTTTGCCTCTCCTTTCCTGCTGGGTCACTTCAGTAACATCATAATATTTGTTGCTTATGATATAGCCCTTTTTTTTACATCAAGAGGACTTTTCGCAACGCTCCACAGGAATTATTCACATGAATTGAATGACCAATTTTATTTGGGGGATTGTTGGCCATGTCACTGTGAGAAACTCCCTTCTCTTTTCGGATTGTGTCATGGGATCTTTGACATCCTCCTGAACAGATGATGGGACCTCTATTTAGTGTCTCATCTGAAGGACGGCACTTCTGACCGATGCAGAGCACCCCCAACACTACAGTGGAGTGTCAGCCTTCACTGTAAATTCGAAGTTCCGACGTGGGACTTGAACCCACAACCTTCTGACTTAAAGGCAGTAGTGCTTCCAGCTGAGCCAGGCTGACACCTTCATGGTAAACAAAACGCAAATTACTGCAGATGGTGGAAATCTGAAACAAAAACAGAAGTTGCTGGGAACACTACACACTGGGAAGGTCACTGGGATCTTCTTAGTAATGTTGAAGAGTTGAATATTTATTGTAGGGTTTTCATTGAATTTGACAAGTTTTCATATGCGGTTGCAGAAGGATTTAAGAGAAAAATTCAGTAGAATTATTGCCTGTTGCATTATAGTGGAAATTTGACATGGTGGGTATAAAGAAAAAGGAAACCATTTTTATTTTATTTTTATCACATTAAAACATCTCAAAGAACATCTTAAGTAAATTTTGTAAATTACTGTTTTACTGACTGTTTTTACAGACAAACATAGCCATTTTGTGTGCAGCAAGATCCCACAAAAGATTTCAAATAAGATGAATAACCAATTAATCTGGGGTCTTGTTGGCCAGCACAGCTGCCTCAGTTCTTTGCTAGATTGTCAGTATAGACTATGAGCTCAAGTCCCACTGTGGGCTTCAACTCACAACCTTAAGACTCAGCGAAAATTACGCTACAAATGAAACCAGGCTGATACTTAACATTATTTAGAAAACAGCATGACGACCTCTTACGTACACTAACCACAAGAACTCTGTGGGCATTGGACAGAATCCTTTGCTTGATGCATTGCTGCTGTGCTTGTTGCGTAGTGTCTGTAGTTGTAAATGGAATGTGTTTCTCTTTTGTTGCTGCAGGAAGATGATGCGGCTGAGGAAGAGAGCAACAGGATAGAACCAATTGGGCGCGCTGATTCTTGTCTTGAACATGGACAGAATTTTTCGCTGGGGTACGTTTATGCTTGTAACATGTTTGTGATCTCGCATGCGTTTTACACAAAATATCCTCAAGGGTTAGCTTATAATTGCAATGTACAGTGTCATCCCATTATAACATGTTAGTTTATAGCACAAATATGCTTATAAAGTGGTTGCACTATGGTCTACATTCACTTATGACCTATGTGTGCTTCCCACACTCCGGCTGGAGCCCAGTCTTTGAGCTAAAATGACTGATGTTCTTCGGTCACTGCCAATGCCACATCCTGCTTTGCTGCCATTTTAACCTCCTGTATTCCAAAAAAAATGCCAGATTCCAGGTCATTAGGTGGTCGACAATGTCACTTCCTGCTTTGTACTTGCACAGCAGGCAAGAAGTGACATTGGTGGTGATCTTATGACTCAAATTCGGCCATTTTGCTTTCATTATGGGAACAGTCAGGGTGCAGGAAGCGAGTCAGATGGCTGTCCAGATGGGCAGTCAAATTCACTATTACTCCTCGTAGCTAGAACTGACCTTTAGTCTGGGGTTGTGGAATTGCTTCAGGTGGGCAACTCTCATCGCAGTCAGAATCTCTTCATGTACTCATTCTCACTGGTTTGTTGTTATGGAAATGATGAATTGGTGATTGAAGTCCCTACAGTATTATCATTCCTTTATTTTCTGGGTACTGTATAGTATTTGAATGGCTTCCAATGAACTGTGTAGCTTTGAAACCTATTATGACACTTTGAAAATGAGGAAGCTTTTATCAGAACAGCCTCCAAGCAAATCCTTTGTAAACAATTTAAATATATTGGAAATCAATTGATTCCGAGGATGGTTTTCCCCAAAAAGGGACTAGCCTTATTAACCAAGTCTCAATTAAAGGTTTACAATCTGTCTCAATCATATATAATAATCATTCTTCCTTATCACGTTGCTGAAATGTCTCAAAGCACATTACAGGATTTATTGTAAACAACAACAACAAATTACACTTGTATAGCGCTTTTCACGTCGGGAGGATGTCCCAAGGTGCTGGACAGTCAGGGATTGGGATTCGAGCAGGGGTTTGGGATCGGGGAGGGTGGATAGGGATTTGGGATCGCCGAAGGGACTGCAAGATAGAGTTCCAGAGGGTGGGAGAAGAGGGGCTGAAGGTCCGACTGCTGATGGTGGGCAGGTCGGGTTGAGGACGTGGAGCCGGCCCGAGGCTGCTGAGCGGAGGGAGTGGACGGATTGATATGGCGTTAGATGCTCACGTAGGTAGGAAGGAGCAAAGCTGTGGAGGGCTTTGAAGGCGAGAACAAGGATTTGAACAATCCTCTGGAGAATGGGGAGCTAATGGAGCGGTCATGAAGCCTGGTGTGGGACAGGACCTGAGTTGCAGAGTTCTGAATGATCTGTAGCCTGTGGAGGGAAGAGTTGGGAAGGCTGACAGGGAGTTGGCGTAGTCCAGCCTAGGTGTAATGAATGCGTGGATGAAGGTCTCGGGGTGGGGGGGTGGCTTGAGGGGGTGGGAGGGACCGGACGGGAGAGGCAGTGGCCTGATGGGAGAGGCAGTGGCAGAGCCTGTCGCTTAATGATAAGTCTTCAACGCAACATCTATTCTAGCACAAGAAGGGAATCTGAACTAGACATGTCCTGTATGTTTTCATCTTTAAGTTTCATTAATTTTTTGTGATTGACTTTTTCTCATGTTTCCAGACTAACCCTCAGGTATGGCGCACACAGCCACACCCACCATTGCTCCCAATTTGAGAACTATTTCATTTTGGGGGGATAATTTGCTTCATATTTTTATGTCACTCCATTCATCATTGTCTCACAGTGACGTGCTAAAGCTGGTTGAAGTCTCCAATGAGGGAGGGCCTTTGGGAATCCACGTAGTGCCTTTTAGTGCGACAGGTGGAAGGTAAAGTACTGTGTTTTGCATGTTTGTCTCAGTTCCATCATTTTGATTTTCTATTATTTAAATCTCATTTAAATCTGCAATTCCTCATATATTTTTACATGCTCAAAATCAAACTTTTGAAGAATTTGTGGGAGTTTCATTCTAATAACCACACTTAGTTAATTCTTCTGAAATGGTATGAAGTTTTTTGACATTTTGAGTTTCTGAAACAAAGATTCTGAGTTAATATTCACGAGATCTCTTAAAAGAAAGATATTCGACACCTCATCTTTAAGTTACATATTTTTTAACCGCAAGATAATATATTTCATTAAACCCAATGTAGATAATGTTTAGAAATGATGCAGGTATTGCAGATTTAAATATTGTACACACATTAATTCATATTTTATTCTAGTTTTAAAAACTTATTTGTTGTTTGTGTGTGTGTATATCTTTCTCTCTTTGGGGATTTTCAAGAGCGTACAATAATTCAGCTTCAACTAATTTGTAATAGTCTGCCTAGATATGGCGAGGTATAAGAACAGATACCACAAAAGCATCTTTTCACTCAGTCCGTGTGATAAAGCAATCTGTGTATCTGTATTAGGTTTGAGCTTTGCATTCGTGAGAAAAAATGGAAGCAATTTCTGATAGTGAATGATTTCCTTGATAATGTGTGAGATTTGCAGAATTGGGAGGTTACTTACAAAACTCATCAAATGGCTGCATAATATCAGAACCTTTCTGGCATTTCGGTGGTGGAAAGCATCTTCAATGTTGCACTTACAGGTCCAAACAGCAGCAAGACAGCTCAGCTCTCGGTGTAATTTTGCAAATGCATTATCAGAATAGGTGACAGTGTTACTTACACCACTGGAGAATGGCACACCCTTATGGATCGCCTTTCATGAAACAGCATTCTCTTTACAAAGATTACATTGAACCGAATAATCTTCTTTTGAAATGGATAATATTTTTCGAAAATTCTGAGATGACAAACCTCGAGCTGCTGGGATCAGACAGCAAGTGAATCTCATCTTCTACGCCAGGGTGCTATAATTGAAGCGGATTTGGCTGATGAGTTTTTCAATTTGTAAAAGATTGGCCATGGTTGTATCTTGGTGTGACCGAGCAGAACAGGTTTAGTGCCCGTGCATTTTATTTTCAGTAGTTAATGAAATGCAGGTATTATTTGTATTCAAATGTTGGACACCTGCAGAGTAATTCATTTCTAGTTGTGCTGAGGGGAGCTTGAGATACATTTAGTACCCGAATGTATGTCACAGCCTGCTGACAATGCATGGGTGTCTCAAGATGCTTGAGTTGAATATAATAGAAGTATTGAATATTTGAATGAGGTTGTGCCACATCATTGGGTTTGCAACTTCGAAAGGTCAGTAGAGTCATCCAGCACGCCTTTTCCAACAGCTGATAAAATACAACAAGGAACCCGAGGGGGTCTCTGAGCAGAATGGGAAAAAAACAAGTCGTTTGTCTATGTAATTATCCTGCTCTGGACACGGTGATAAGTTTAATATGCAAGTTCATGGGTTCAATGAATTTCAAGTAATTGAAGTAATCGATAGATACTATTCTGAACGCCTTGTTAAGGCAACATTGCGCAAGATGTTTTTGTTAAGAAAATACAACCATTTACAAAACTTTTAATCTTCAAGAACTAACAATGCAAAAGGGAGCAGAAGAAAATGAGTGCAATTTGTAATCATCTGCATTAAGTGCTGAAATCTCTGCCACTCTTTTTTGAACCGTGCTTTATTCCCCTCTCTCTTTGAAAGCTGTCTCTTCCTTTTCTGTGTGGGTTGCACTCCTTAAAATAATACTTTCAAAAAGATCTGGGCATTTTTTCCCACTGTAACCTGATTCAAAGATTGCACTTGGATTATTCCTGTTTCAATATTAATATAAATTAATATAAAATATTGCTTCTATTTAATTTTAAAACAAACCCATCTAATCTGTTTCAGTTCACCTTCAGCCATGTTATTGAACTTGATACACAGCAAGTTAGAGCAGGTGTTGCTGAGCTTCCAGTTAAATACGTTCTTTACTGCCTGTTTGTGTCAGGTCTGAGCACTTTAGAGCAAGTTCCCCTCTTACTCTGCTGCTGAAGCTACATGCTGTAAATCTTACTTGACAGCTTAAATTAATGGTCGCAAGGTGTTTAGGTGGTTAGAGCTGGCATTTGTGCACAAAGACACTGTTTTGTCCAGCTGTGAGAAGCTTTTCCAGCAAGTTTCATTCACCAGGCGCAATCATTCACTGCTCTGCTTTCGTCCTGTTTGCACTGTTTACCCGTGTCACTATTTATGAGGATAGACTCGAGTCATTTCACTTTGGGTATAGGTAATAAATTATTTGCCTCACAGTTTTAGGAACCAACTTTTAGCCACTTAGGCAATTCAGAATGCCCATAAAAGACTTTTACATTGCCCAACGCTAAGTCCCATCAGTAGGGATAATTTGCAAGATTTGTTAAGACTTAAATTTATGTGTTTAGCTGGTTACTTATAGAAAATACGTAGTCATTTACTCTAATTGAGCTCTAACTCTGGCTGGTGTGTTTTCCTGCTTTTAAACAATTGTACTAGATGCTGAAACACATATTTTTCACTGGAGTCTCCAAATGATACAATCCAATTTACATTTACAGAACTCCTTTCACGTCAGGCGGGAGTCTCAAAGCACTTTACATAGCACTTCTTGGCGGGGGGTGGGGGTTGCTGGGAGAGAGATAAAGAGGAAAGATGTTCAAAAGCAGTACATCTTGAAGCGGGCTTTGAAAATGGGGAGGGAGGGGGTAAGTCGGAGGGACTCGGATATGGAGATCCAGAGAGTGGGGGTAGAAGGGCTATAAGATCAGATGCCATTGGTGGAGCGGACAGAGCGGAGGATGCAGGATTGGAGGAGATCACAGAGATGGGCCGAGACTGCAGGGATTTGAAAGTGATATTTGAATTATATCCATCCTTCACATTTGACAAGAATGCTTCACTTATCCAAAGTGATAGGGTGGACAGGGATTTTATAGAGGGATCCATTACAAGAAACGCAGGTTTAAGATGGTTAGAGTTGAGATGAGGAATAAATTCTTCCCACAGAGTGTTGTGATGATCTGCCCAAAAAGCTACAGTGGTAGAAACAATGAGGATGTTTAATAGAGAGAGAAAGACAGATATTTTGGGAGCAGAGGTATTTAAAGGATATGGTGAAAAGGTGGGAATTGGGATGAAAACTTCCCGCAACATCTAATCAACTGGAAGTACAGGCTTAATCGGCTGAAAGGCCTCCCTTGTTCCTGTTTTTCTATTTTCCTAATTCACATAATTATAAACTGGTTTCAGGTCTGGGCAGTCTGGTGAGAATGTGGATCTCACTGTTGGAAGCTGTGGTTGAAGCAAACAGCATCAATTAATTTAAGAAAAAATTGGCTGCATACATGAGGGAGAAGGAAATAGCGGAGGTAGGATAGAGGAAGAGGAGGGTTGAGGCTTTTGTGGATTGTAAACACTGGGACAGACCGGTTGAGCCAAATGGTCTTTTTCCAAGTTATACAATTCTATGTAGTACCAGATTTGACATCTGTTTTTGACTTTTCTGCATTTAAAGTCGTCTGAATCCAAGAGGCAGAATAAGGAGAAAGAATGGAAGTCCACAGTTGGTGATGATGGTGTTCCTTACAGTCGAATAAACTGGGAATGCCACTTTTCACCATTGTAAATGTTCCCTATTGTAACTGTATTTGTGCAAGAAAGTGACAATCTTTAAAATAATTGTAAGTGTAAATAAAGAGTGCTTCATTGCATCACACTTTGTGCGGTGCTCACAGCAGCTCAAACACCTCACCACTTTGGGGTGAAGAACTGCATTTTACTTGTATTTTGTTCCTGATACACTGGTCATAAGGCTTCATGAGAGTTTACAGAGACAAAGAATCCAGTTTGAGAACATTTGCCATGAATGTTTTGCCATTTTACCACTTTGGTGAAACAGGTTGTAAATACTGTAGTTGTAAAGCAGATGGCTATGAAGGTGAATTGTCTTCTCCTTGAAGGGGGGGACGGGGTGGCAGTAAGCAGGTTCTCCTTGGAGCTGACCTAGCTTGTCAGTGGAACGAAGGAATTGAGTCGGATTCTGTAATGGACTCATTACCTGAGCTAGGCAGGTCTGCATTACTCCAGGACAAAGCTGATGACAGATCAGGCTTCGAAATTCGACTTAACAGCAACTGGTTGGGAAGAATCTGTGGGAGCAGGGATTCTTCCCACTAACCTCCCTGTAAGCCAACCCTAATTGTTTGGGTGATTCTTGCTGTACAAGCAGCAAGAAGCTGGTTTGGCAGTTTTCAATGGCGAGCTATCCATTTTTCAGCAAAATTTCCATATGTAGATGGCATATGTGGAACCTGTCTAGTTTGAATATTCTCAAGCACAGTGATGGATTTTGGATGTGTCATACCTGGCTGACCCCAAAAAACACGGGTTAAAGAAGTATTCGCTAATGTAATGAATTTGTACACGTGAAGGTTTCAGCATTGCACTATGAGTGATGAAATTGTTTTATCTGACAAAGATATTTGAAAGTATTAGCAAAGGAGGGGAGACTATTTCACATCGGCATTCCAGTGTGTTGTATGTATGTATCTGTGTATGTACAAAATGTTATTTGAAGGTTTGAACAGATTCATTGTGAATTTTTCTGCAGGACCCTGGGGTTACTGGTGAAGCGTCTGGAAAAGGGCGGAAAAGCAGAGCAGGAGAAATTGTTCGATGAGAACGATTGTATCATCAAGATCAATGATGGAGACTTGCGAAATACACGATTTGAACAGTATGTATTTTGTGCAGAAAACGGAGGTTGAAAATGCGACAGTTGCAAACCTGGTGCCTGAAATTGTTTGATTCTCTTTAAAAGTTGTGGGTTTTTTTGGGGTGGGGGACTATGCAGCCAGTGGGGACTATTTGTCAGAATATTCAGCTTTTTATTCAATTAAGAAACTACCCTGAGCACGACTACAGCCACTTTTGCGATTTATGTTTTGCAATTGTGGGCGAGGATTTGCTTTTAAACTCCAGGGTTTAATGCTCTGGGTACACTTCAGTGTAAGGCTACAGCCCACAAAATATACAGTCAATTCACTTTACGGTATATTCTGTGAAATGCTTTGAAATTTCTTGAAGAAGCTATATCAAATGAAAGGATTGTATTACAGTAAGGAATGTTCCTGTCGCACTGGAGTTCAATAAAAGACTCTATTTTTCTTTTTTAAAATACAGTCCTTGTTAAAAGACACTTTGCTTTGTAATTTTTTTTAATGCATTCACTTTAAAGCATTAACCATTAAATAAAAGTTCATCTCTCAATATGTAACAATAACATTAAATGATAGACAATGACATAATTGCTATTTCTACCCAGGTTATATTTATGCGGTTGCAACATTTACATGTTTCTAAAAAAAAGTCTTCCACAATACATAATTAATGATCATAATTATGTTAATGATGCCTTTTGGACTGACAGCTTTAATTTGTTAATTTCCCTTGTATCCTAATTCTAGAGCACAACATATGTTTCGTCAAGCCATGCGTTCACCTGTCATCTGGTTCCATGTGGTCCCCGCAGCAAATAAAGAACAGTACGAACAAGTATCTCCCGGCAATAAAAATGCCTTTTATTCCAGTCGGAACAATGCAGATGCCCAGCACACTGATGGCAAGAGCACTGTAAATGCACGTTTTGATGACACGCCACAGAGGCTGTCTAGAATGAGCAATGAGACAGATCAGACTGCTTCCTACTCTCATCTACCTCACAATCTGAACTCAGTGTCAAAACCGCCTACAGGTCAGAATCTGATCCCCCAAAGGTTGAGCGCTGCACCGCCCACTGGCTACAACACCAAAAAAGTAGGGAAGAAACTCAACATTCAGCTGAAGAAAGGTAAAATAATAATACTGCTCATGCATAGTGGTAATGCTGTTTTTATCATATTACTTTGAAATGCTTTCAAGGAAATACTAGTGCTAAATGTTGTAAAATTGCTAGGACCAATTGAACCCTCAATACCCTATTTGGAAATTAAAGGATGTAACCAGTGATATGTTTTTTGCTGGGCAGTGTTGTTTTTCAGAAGTGGTTTACAGTGTTAAAATAGAAGAATCTTACAAATGAACAAGTTCTTTCTATTTTACGTGCTGCACTTTTCTCTGTATTTCAACTCTGTTCAAATCCCTTCTCACCTCGCCCTACTTCTGTGAGGACGACATTAAAAAAATGCAACGAGACATAGATAGGTTAGGTGATTGGGCAGGTAGGTGGCAGATGAACTATAATGTTGGGAAGTGCAAATTCATCCACCTCAGTAGCAAAAACAGTAGAGCGGGTTATTTTTTAGAAGGGGAGAGATTGGAATGTGTTAGCGTCCAGAGGGACTTGAGTGTCCTTGTACACCAATCACAGAAAGGTAGTCTACAGGTGCAGCTGCAATTAGGAAGGCGAACGGTATGTTAGCATTCATTATGAAAGGATTAGAGTATAAGAGTAGGGAAGTCTTGCTGCAACTGTATAGGGCCCTGGTGAGACCACACCTGGAATACCATGTGCAGTTTTGGTCTCCTTATTTAAGGAAGGATGTACTTGCCTTGGAGGGGGTGCAGCGTAGATTTACTAGGTTAGCACCAGGGATGAAGGGGATGAGTTACGAGGATAGGCTGACCAATTTGGGCCTCTTTTCTCTAGAATATAGGAGAATTAGAGGGGATCTTATTGAAACCTACAAGATCATCAAAGGGCATGATAGAGTAGATAATGGGAGATTGTTTCCCCTGGTTGGAGAAACTAAAACCAGGGGTCACAACCTTAATATCAGAGGCCAGCCCTTTTGCACTGAGTTGAGGAAGAACTTCTTCACTCAAGGGGTGGTGAATGTATGGAACTCACTACCCCAAAGAGCTGTTGACGCTCAGTCCTTGAACATATTCAAGACTGAGGTAGATAGATTTTTTATTGCAAAAGGGATTAAGGGATATGGGGATAAGGCAGGGTTAGGTTATTAGCTGGAGTTAGATTAGAAGATCAGCCATGATTGAATGGCGGGGTAGGCTCGAAGGGCCGAATGGCCCACTCCTGCTCCTACATGTTATGTTATGTGACTTCCTGCACTCCTACCAAGCGTCCTTATGTGCCTTGATGACCTCCAAACATGAAAGGTGCTAATCAGTGTAAATTTATATTGTATTGTACCACACTGGCCACTCCCTCCGCTCAGCAAACACCTGCCATTCTACCTCCACCCTCTGGAACTTTATCTCTTTCCTCCACACAGTTTAACATCCACATTAAGATTCTCCCTTTGGACTGCTCTTTTGGGTCACCTTTCCTCTCCCGCCAGCCCCCACATCTTCCTCAGCTCCCCCACCCTAGTCAGCTCTGTGAAGATAATAATAGTAGCAAAAATAGTTATGCCTTATCATGTCATCTAGATGTTTCAAAGCTCCTTACAGGATATACTGTAAAGTGGTGTGACAAAGCAACAAAATAAGACACAAGCTCGTAAATTGGTACTGCAAACTTACGGTGACACTTTTAGAAGCATAAATTCTACAAGGGGAGAGTATTTGGGGACAATAATAGGCCCAATGAAACCAAGTGGGTAATAAAGCAGGTTGAGAGCAGGTAGAAAATAGTTATTTTGTACCTCAAGTACATTTGTAATGTCCAGCTCGAAAATATATGTTGCTGTGCACTTTGTCTAACTCCAGTTGTCAATGGGTTCTTCTATGGGTGCTGTTTACAGTACTGATTGTTGATTGCATTTTTGCTTGAACAGTTTTTGACCTTCAATGTGCCCAGACATGTAGAGGCACTAACTAAGCTATGGGTTTGTCTCAAAATTGTACAAAACCCCTTGGCCTTTTGGATAAGATTCTTATCAGTTTAGTAATTTATACGTCCACTTTCAATAAAATGTATAGATATACTAAATTGATTTTAGGAACATGGAGATGAAATTGAGGCTTTCTCCATCTTCTCCCACTCATCAATCAGGCATGGTAGTGCCTCCAGCAATAGTACAACAAACACAAGATTGTCGATGGAAATAAACACGTATGTAATATGTTATATATTTTTAAATATATTTTCGCCCACAAAATATATAGTCAATTCACTTTACAGTATATCCTGTGGAGCAGTTTGAGATATCTCAACAACATAAGTGCCATATCAAATGCAAGGATTATTATTATAAAATCATTGATGTAATAATCATAAATAATCTTTCCATTTGGTACAACACCTGTCACATCAGGAGGATCATTTTAAAGTGCTGCACAGGATCTTACTGTAAAGTGCAGTGATTGGGAACTGTGTAGGCAAATGCCTACAATATTACTGAAGTGTTGAGGTGCAAAATGCAGCAATTTCATTTAGAATTCCTTGATGAAGTAAAACAGTAATATTCCGAGTAAGTGTTCGTTCTCAGTTATCGGAGGTATGTCACCCCGATCTGAGGAAATCCAACTCCAGAGAAGGAGCTTCTGTGAGTCTGTGTGATGTAACTCCAGATCCTTTGTCAAGGTTAATTTCACTGCTTGAGGGAGTTGGAAGCAGATTCAAAAATAACTTTCAAAAGACAGTTGGTTATTTACTTGAAAAGAAAAAATTTGCAAAGCTATGGGGAAAGAACGGGGAGTGTGACTAATAGGAAGCTCTTTCAAAAAGCACGATAGGCTGAATGGCCTCCTTCTGTTCTGTAGAATTCTATACGTCCTGTTGCTCAGTAGTTAGAGCACTCGCCTCGCAAGCAAGAGACCTGGGTTTGATTCCCGTCAAGAATGATGGCGCAAGTTTCCTTACTTCACACACCTCTGTTTACCTAGCACTAAATAGGAACCTGGTTGTTAGTCGATTGGCAGATTGCTTTTCCAGGGTAATAATTCTTTCAAAAAATATATAGATAATAAATTGGTCACTTCAAGCAACGACTGTTTGTGGGACACTGCTGTGCACAATTGGCTGCTGCGTTTCGCCCACAAAATATACCGTCAATTCACTTGAGACGTCTAGAAGATGTGAAAAGCGCTATATCAAATACAAGGATTATTATTATTATTATTATAAGCACTCCTAGTTGAAATCAGATTGTTTTAGATCAAAGTTTCTGAGTTTTATTACTTCTGTGAGTTAATTTTCCCTGTGCACAAAACTAAATCTGGATTCTCCTGTCTCATATGAAGCCTATTTGGTGTTCATCCCATCTTTCTAACCTGAGTCACCTTGCAAGCTTGCCTCTGAATCTATCTGCTAATAAAATCACTGTTTTGAAGCAAGAGTTAGCCAGACCTAAGTAAGTTAGGAGCAAGATGATAAAAGATGGAGTTTGGCCAAATTGAAAGGGGAAGGTTAAAAAAACTTAAACATTATTATAATAGTTGGATATGATCAAGCGAATGTTTTATTGAATTTCATTGCTTTCTTGAATCTACTCAATGCGTAAGATATCTTGTCCGCAGATGTTCAGAACGGTCATTGTAAAGCAAATAGAAAAAGAATTCAAGTGAGAGAGGAATGATAACCAATGTACTAAATATTCCTTGGATTTTTTAAAAACGTTTTATAAAGTTAGGTAAAATGATTTGGTACAATTTTCGAAATTACATTTGGTTGCCAAAATTACCGAATTGTTTTGCAAAGCCAACTAACTGCATGCAAGTAAAATACAAGAAGCAGTTATCTTTTAAGATGAGATTTCTAGAAGAGCAATTTCTTTTTTCATTTTATGTATAAATATGTCAGTGCATAAATGAATAACTGAAGCCTTTTAGTTTGTTAAAAGTTAGACACTGAGGAAGTTAAAACGGACAAGGTTTCTGAATGCTCATTTATATTCAGATTGGTTTGAGTGTACAAATATTTCAGTGCTGCATTGAGGTTTAAAGGTCGCTGGATACTTTGACAGGCAGTGCATAGTGTTTAGTGCTACCTCCTTCATGTTTGTGGCTTTGGATTATATTTGCAGCATATAAAATGTGATAGATAAGCAGCTGCGCTGTTTTATGGATAGCTGTATAATATCAGCAGGGAAGTTGTATCCGAGACTAATTCTGAATGTCCCAATGTCCAGAGATGTAATAAGTATTGGCAGCTTCATGGTACATTCATTTCTTGTAATTCAAAATACATGAAAGCATGGAACAAAAATACCTCTTCAAGCCCATTCCTTCCATAGTCCGAGCATGGTTAATTCTTCCTTTTCATTTGGTCATTCATTTCATGGCTGTGCGTGGGACATTGCTGCACTCAAATTGGCTGACGCGTTCGCTCTCAAAATGTACAAATGTATCCACTTTACAGTGCGTACTGTCAAGTGCTTTGAAATGTCCTCCTGAAGTGAAAGGCGCTTTATCAAATTTAATTATTTTCATTATTATTTATCCTTTAATCTCTTAAAGCAAAACGATAACTATCCCAATAACTCTGTCCCTTTTCTCAACTAATTTGATCCATCTCTCCTTTAATTGAAGAGGAAGCTAGGACTTCACATGAGTGTGAAGGGAATAAAAGTGTATGGGAGGGAGTAGAGAATGAATGAAGACCCGTGCGGAGTATAAACATCGGTATGGACTGCGGGGCCGAGTGGCCTGTTTCCATGCTGTACGTTCTTTGTGATCTTTGTAAAGCGGTCAGCTGATCCCTAATTAACCATTCTTTCTGAGAATCTGTTATTGTTTGACTCTCAGATCTTTTTGCCATCTTAGATATGTGGTATTCTGAGTGTCGGTATCATGTGTAATTCATCTCATTTCCAATTTAGCTCAAGGGTTGAGAATCTTCTGATCATGTTTTCTAGCCCTATATTCACAGCCCAAGTTAAACACAATGTTTGTGTCAATCTTATTGACTGCTTTCATTACACCAAAAAAGCTGTATTGTATTTCTCCTCGTTTGTCTTTTTTTCCAGCAAAACAAGTCCATTCACCTGAATCTTTCTTCATAAATTACTCCCTTGAGGTCTCAAATTCTGAAAATACAGAATTCAGTCTGTAGTTGTTCTAAAGGCTGAAGTTATTATTTTTGAGTTTCTCATAGATATTTCATGCAAGGTATCATCTATCAGAAAATCGTTCATCTGTTCTAATTATTGAGTAAAGTCATTGATTTGTTTTGATCAACGTGGAATGTTTACGTGTCTTTTGAACTGCAAAACTGACATTTGTTTGTCTAACGAAAAGGTCAGTGTGTGAATTTTCTTGCGACTGTTATTTGTGGGGTTCAAGCTGTTGTTTTGGGACTGCTTGTTCATGCGTGTACAGTGCGCTGCTCAACTCATTTAAGCTGCATTGTGTGCCAGAATGATATGAATCCCTTCGTGCTCTAGCACCTCTCTATCTCTCTGATCTCCTACCCCATTCCTCTGGTTTCCCCCCTCCCAGCTCCATTCAGTGTGTCCTAACGTGTGTATGTGTGTGCGTCGCCACTCTACTAGCACAGCTTTCTGATTCTATGTCCCTCAGCTCTGGAACTTCCTCCCTCGAACCCCCTGCCTCACTGCTTCTCTATCTTTCTTTAAGTCCTGGTCCTTTGACCGTATTTATGGAAACCTTCCTTCTCCTCCTTCCTACCGCCCCTTCTCCCAATCCCCCCCCCTTCTCACTTCCTATTTGGTGTACATGCGCAAAATAGGAAGTGACATCGGTCGTGGCTTATGACCTGGACATCTGTCATTGTTTTAGCTTGGAACCTGGCTAGCAGGCAGGGAATGGGCTGGCTTGCTACGGAAATGCACAGTGAAACCCACTGTCACACCTCACTGTTCAGGTGTCCTGGGATTTTATGGATCCCAATCACCACACTAAACAAGACTCCACTACATTACAGCATGAAGCAGCTGTATTGTGGTGCATGTCTGGTTCATGGTGACTGCATTGGAGAATCAGACCTCCTGTCAGTTTATCTTGACACAGTGCCCTCATTAGTGACCTGGCTGAGAGCAGAATCAGCTAATCACACTTAAGGGCAAGTCTATTGGTGTTTCAACCTGTGTCAGAGCTTGATCCTCTGCCCAGAGACATGTGAAGCAATTACCGTACTGCTTTGTGACCCAATCCCCTACTAACTGAGTATTGAAATTATATGTTTTGTTGACTTTTATATGGACCAAATAAGTTGGCTGACCGGAGGTTGCAATTATGTATTACCATTCCTGAGTTCTAGTATTATAAACTGCAGGGTAAATTTACCATTATTTCTTATTAGTTCCTTAAACTAATGCTGGCATTAACATGAGGAATACCGCTAATGGTATCTCTACGAGAAACCAGAAAAAAGTCAGAGCCTCCTGTACACTTAATTTTTTTATCAATGTTTGTGTATATGTACGTATATATAATGTACACAACCACAACTTGCATTTATTTAGCAGCCTTCACACAGGATATACATGTAAACGTTTTTTTATTCAGCTTTCTCATTTGTTTGGCACTTGAGTTTAGATTTGCATTCTGCCATTATGGCTTCCAAAGTTTGGTGTGCAGCTTCATGTCACTTGGCATAGAATCATAGGAACTCACAATGCACAAGGAGATCATTCTGCCCACCGAGCCAGCATAGGCTTTCAGCGCATTGAATCCTATTGGCTTGCCCTATCCCCATTCAAGCCTGTACTTGTCTACTTCCCTCTTGAGACGCTGCCCCATGGGAAGGACACTACATAAATGCAAGTTGTTGTTGTCGATGAAGCCCACAATGGACTCTGCTTATATCACCTTACTTGGCTGGTATTCCACACCCTGTAAATAAAGACGTCCACTAGAATTGTTATCTCAGATGGCAAGAAATCCGACTTCTTCATATTTTGTGCTCTGTTGAATTAAAACCTTTCTATTTTATTAATCCTGATGATCAGTTGCTTGGGTCTCTTTTTGTTTCATCCAATGGGGTGGGGGGTGGGGAGGAGTTGAAAGAAGAAAGCCACCACGTTCCAAAATATGACATTAACGTTGCCCTCTTTATTAATCTTTAGGTCCAGAAGGTCTTGGGTTCAGTATTACATCACGGGATGTCCCTATTGGTGGCTCTGCACCAATCTACGTGAAAAACATCCTCCCAAAAGGAGCAGCTATTCAGGATGGAAGGCTGAAGGCTGCAGACAGGCTTCTGGAGGTGAGTAGATGCAATATCAACTTAGATTAAAGAGTGAGTAAGCTTTTACTTGTAATGTCCCCACTTTGGAACTTAGAATGCATAACCTGCTCCAGTGCAGTGCTGGGGGAGTGCTTGTTCCTGAAGGTGTCATCCTTCAGGTGAGATGTTGAACTGTGCTCCTGTCTGTGTCTGCTCAGGTGGACATTGAAGATCCATGGCACTATTTGAAAAGGGAAGGGAGTTTCTCCTAGGTCCTGGTCCACAGGTACAATTGGTCATTCCTTATGACTGTTTGTTGGACATTGCTGTGTGCAAAATTGACTGCTGTGTTCACTTACAAATGCAGCCACTATACATTACAGTAATTCATATGAAGCACTTTGGGGCATCTTGACAATATGACAAGGAGCTGTATCAATTGTAAGGAATATTATTATTGTGATGATGATAATGTCAAACTGCACTGAAAACTTTGCTCTGCATTCTGGAGGTGAACTGATGTATTGGCAGTATGCCTGGAGTGGATTATGTATTTCAGGTTAATGCAGGCCTGGGAATAATTACCCATTATGTACATCAGCTTCACAATTAAGAGCAATAACTTGTGCATTTTGTGCTTGTATGATAACTTGTGGCTGTCTTTAAAAGAGAGATTCCCGTTATTTCTCCAAGCATATTTTGTCATTAAAATTCTATTCTAACTGGAAACTAGATCACCGATCACTCAGGTAATGAGTGTTTTAGACACTTAATGCAATTTGTCCATGTTTTAATCAGACTTTTAATGCAGTTCACACTCGCACTTCTCCAAACATTTGCCCTCTCATTTTCCCTGTATAGTATGTCTGTTAATTTTATAAGAATAATCCTTGTATTTGATATTGCACCTTTCACATCAGGAGTACGACTCAAAACCACTTTCTCTCTTCTCATGTAAAAATACAGTCACTGCATTTTACAGCGCATAGAAGTGTACTCTCCATTCCTTCCTTCCTTCCTTCCTTCCTTCCTTCCTTCCTTCCTTCCTTCCTTCCTTCCTTCCTTCCAATATTTTGCAAAATTTTAAATTTTAAAATAAGGCTAAGACCATGAAGAGTTTCAGCTGTTCAGCTTCTTTTGGGAGTAGGGGGAGATATCCTAGCCTCCTCCGTGATGTGGAAATCATCTATTCTCAAGGGATTAGATGTGTTTCGCCCACAAAATATACATACAATTCACTTTACAGTACATTTTGTGGAGTCCTGTAGCTCAGTGGTTAGAGCACTCACCTTGCAAGTGAGAGACCTGAGTTCAATTCCAGGCAGGGCGAAACCTTGGGCAAGTTTCCTTACTCGACACGCCTAATAATAATCCCTCCAAAACCAAAAACATAATAAATTGGTCATTTTCAATCTACGACTGTTTGTGGGACATTGCTGTGCGCAATTGGCTGCCGCTTTTGCCCACAAATATACAGTCAATTCACTTTACAGTGTGTTCTGTGAAGCGCTTTGGGACGTCCTCCCGACGTGAAAAGCGCTATATCAAATGCAAGGATTATTATTATTATTATTATTACCTGTCAATTAAGGGATTAGCTCAGCGTTTTCAGGAATGCGAATGCAATGTACAAACAGGCAATCCTGATCTGACAGGTGGGTAAATGAAGTTTACCCCAGCTGATGGAGGTCAAGAGCCAAGTCATTAAAAATACCCGATAGCAATTACACTGAGGCAGGAGAAAATAAGTTTGGACATCTTGATGCACTTTCACTTCATCGAGCAACACAAATGCAAATAATAAAACCCTCCGTTTTACGCTCTTTTACGCTTTTACACTCATACGGTTTGAATAACTCCACTTAATTTGTTGGCGTATAGGTTACCAATCCAGTTCCTTGTTTCCTGCCAGGCCTTACACAGCAGGGTGGGTGCTAAGGTTGCTGCTGCTGCTATTAGCTTTATTATTGAGAATGTGTCCATTCCTGGGCACTCAGCCTGAATTTCGGTCACGGAACAACGGGGTTGAAATAATTCTAAAGTGGTTTCATTACGTTTAGTCTTTCTTTGAGCGAAGGAAAACTATAGGTTCCCTTAGAAGTGATCTTATTGATCCCTAATGAAGCTTCCCCCCCGGATGGGATATCAGCAGACGTTCTTTGAGAATTTGATCATTTATAATAATAATCCTTGCAATTTGATATTGTGTCTTTCTTATGTTGTCGAAACATCTCAAAGTACTTCACAGGATTTACTATGAAGTTCAGCGACTATTTTGTAGGTGAACTCAGCAGCCAATTTGCGCACAGCAGTCTCCCACAAACAGCTTTGAAATAAATTACCAATTTTATATGGGGATTGTTGGTGAAATTAAGTGTTGCCATATAGAAAGAGTCTTATAAAAAGCAAGTTAACATCAAATGGAAATTGCTGTAAATTATGTAATCGTGTTTATTTCAGTTCTGGGAAATTACTGCCATTTTATACATCCGCTTTAGTTAATAGCAATAACTTGTGAAGTTTGTGCTTGTTGCAAGGCCCCCGGCTGCGTAATAGCAAATATTCCTTTTATTTCTTCCCGATTCAAATATTACTCTACCAAGAAGTAGATTCCTGACAACCAGTAGTTACAAAATGACAGCAAAATAATGGACAATACAACTGCAAAAGCTAACTGTATTCATTAGAGGGGAGATGAAGAAGAATTTGTTATGCAGAGCTGTCATTATGTGGATTGTCCTGCCAAATGTGATTGAGGCAGAACCCATATGAGCTTTCAAGAGGGAATAAGACAAATTAGAATAATTTCAGGACTTTAGGGAAAAGGCAGGTAAATAGGACTGAAGATACCAAAGAGCCAGTACAGACAGAGTGGGCCGAATGTCTGTCTTCTATACTGCAAGTCTATGTATCTGCTATCAACAGTTTTCATAGTATTAGAGAATGTTAGAGCAGAAATAAGCCATTTGGTCTATCCAAGTCTGTGTCGGTGTTTTTACAATAATGATAATCCTTGGATTTGAGTTTTGTGCAGCGTTCCTCAGGGCTCTGTCCTTGGTCCCCTCCTCTTTAATATCTGTATGCTCCCTCTTGGTGACATCATCCGCAGTCATGGGGTCAACTTCCACATGTATGCGGATGACACCCAAATGTACCTCTCTGACTCCACCCTTGACTCCAGGACCACTACTGCCTGACAAGTCTTGGATGAGAGATAATTCTCTTCGGTTGAATGTCAATGACTCTCCTGATTGGCTCCATCAGCGCTTCCACACCTCAGGTGCTGACAGCATCACCATCCATGGTTGCACACTCCACCTTACTTAGCCAGTCCGGAATCTTGGCGTCTTGTTTAACCCTCAACTATCCTTTCTACCCCACATCTGTGCCATGACCCGCTCTGCCTTACTCCACCTCCGCAACATTGCCTGGCTACGCCACTGTCTCACACCGCAGGCTGCCAAAACCCTCATACACGCTTTCATTACGTCGAGGCTCGACTATGCAAACTCCTTGCTTGTTGGCCTCCCCAACTCCTCCCTCCATAGGCTACAGATCACCGAGAACTCTGCAGCCCATGTCCTCCCCCACACCAAACTCCATGACTTTATCACACCCATCCTCGCCCGACTCCACTGGCTTCCCATCACACAGAGGATACAGTTCAAAATCCTGGTCCTCACCTTCAAAGCCCTCCATGGTCTTGCTCCCCCCCTACCTCTGCAACATCCTATCCTCCTACCATCCTGCCCACTCCCTCCGCTCAGCAGGCTGTGGCCTGCTTTACGTGCCCCACCTTGTTCGCCCCACCATTGGTGGGCGGGCCTTTTTCCTCTCTGCCTCCACCCTCTGGAACTCCATTCCGCAGTCCCTCTGCCTCACCTCCTCCCTTGCCTCCTTCAAGACCCTCCTCTTCAACCATGCTTTCGATCATCCTGTCACCCTGTCCTCCACCCGCCCCAATCCCGACCCCTAGCTCGGGTCCGAAACTCTGACTGTCCAGCTCCTTGGGACATCCTCCTGATATGAAAGGCGCTATACAAATGTAATTTTGTTGTTCTTGTTGTAGTATCTCAGCATGCTTATGATGAGGACTATTATTACTACTAATAATAACAATTTTTGCATACAAGCACTTCACATGATTTCTTTTGAAATGTAATGACTGTATTTTGTGAGTGAATGTGGCAGCCAATCTGCACAACAATGTCCTGCTCTTTGAGACGTCTCGAAGATATGATAAGGCGCTTTATCAAATGCAAGGATTATTATTATATTTGAATAGCAGGAAATGGGAGTTTTGCCCACAAAATACACAGTCAATCCACTTTACAATATGTTCTGTGAAGTGCTGTGAGACATCTTAATGATGTGATGATGCGCTATTTCAAATGCAAGGATTATTATTATAATAAAGATCATCTCTGTGATTCCAGGTGAATGGTGTAGATCTCACAGGAAGATCGCAAGAGGAAGCGGTGTCCCTCCTGAGGAACACTAAGATGGGTGGCACTGTCAGTCTCCTGGTCCTGAGGCAAGAGGACACCTTGCTCCCTCGGGAACTGGTGAGTAGGAAGCCTGGCAAATAGCAATAGAATTGAATATTCTCTGCCTTTGGTGATGGCCTCTCGTCAGGCACTGAAACCTTTCATTATTCAGTTGCCACATTATGATTTCATGATTCTTGTCTCACCACAGCTATTGAAGCCAGGATGAAGAAATAAGATCTGAGTGGTTGTTGGATTTGATTTGAGAAATATTTGACGGTCGGGCTCATATATATGCTGGTGTTTTGGTTCAGTGTTCTTGTACGAACGCATATCAAGGGGATGATAATTTAACCCCTTTCTTTCAGGGGCCAAGTTCACGTCTTATGTTGATTTGTTTTACAGCTGAGAAAAAACAGTTACATTTCAGCTTCTATAACTGAAGTATCGCCACTTGTGAATTTCACTGAACTCGGTTAAAGTAGAATAAAGTAGCATATCCACAGCCATGTTGATTTCTTGTCTATAAAATGATATAGAATATCACAATCTTGTCCATCAATAGCCTTTGTAATGAAGTAGCAAATCAGTGTTGTGTCCATCAATAGTTAACAGAGCACGTGGTAAGTCTCATCTCCATCAATGGTCTATGGAGTGAAAGAGTGTATCAGTCTTGTTTTGACAAAAAACTATTCCAGAAGTATATCTCACTTCAGCAGCTATTTCATAAAGAATACATTTTTAAATTATTACATGCTCATTTTTCTATCATGACTAGAGAGAAGTGTATTATAGATTATGGATGATAATTTGGGATCTTGATTGATAATTTCCATTTTGTGCTGTTTAAATCCATGGGGACAAATTTTGGTTTCTTTTATTAAATGCAGAAGAACCATTTGACAGATCTTTGATGCGTAGAAATGCAATATGTTTTGGTTGATTATTGTGATGTGACTTGTGTTCATTTAGCTTGAAACTATGATCCTTGCTCACATAAGTGACGACTTTTAAGCTAATGATTAATGGTCCAACAATCCATACGGAATAAAAGTATTGTGGAATATTAGTCACCGTTTATCAAACTAAGAAGGCAGAGAAGTGCTGTATTAATAGGCTTCCACTTAAGTTTAGGGTGGGTGGAGGAGGGTGCCGGTTATTTAGGGATAGGATTTGCAACAAACTGTTCTGTAACCTGTTCCAGTTTCTTCCAACATTGCTGGATTGTGTTACACACAATAGATTGTAACTGACCATGAATTAGGGATAAGCCTCCAGAGTGTTCAGTTATTGGCTTCAGATGACCAAATCTGAAATGTATTTGATTTCTCTTGGGGAAAGCTTTGGCTTTGGAGGGCTTGAGCAATTGGCAAAATTCCTGCTTGGGTTCAGCTTCGAACCACCTGCACTTCACTGAAGCCAAAAGCTAAACTGACCTGAAATTGCCACGGGATTAATGAAGGCAGCCAGGTCGTATATACTATTTTGTTTAAAGAAAACAAGTTCAAAATTGATGCACTTTCAACTTCATATTGAACACCACCTCAGACTGTTTCCTAAAGTAATGAAGCCTTCAAGAATGAATTTTGATGCATACTTGAAGCAATACATATCTTTGAGATAAAAGAAGGATTTAGAGATTTTAAAAGAAGTGCTTGGAACAGCTGAAGTAATTGATCTCAGCTGTGACACTGATAAAGTGAAAGGTGCTGTGAATACTTTGAAACGTGGAGCCTCTTTGGCAATGTGTTCATCTGTGTACCACACGTGACCTGCAACTCTGATGCCATGTGTTTTTATGCTTTTATCTCCACTTCCAGAAAAAGGAATCCAGTCCAATGCAGACACCAAATGACTTGGTAAGAGCTCTGTATTTTTAAACCACACAAACCGCTTTGGGATGTCTGAAAATGTTCCTGCAGATGTTCATTCTCCAAGCAGCGCAATAATTTGTCATTTGAATTTCTTCCTAAAGTCTGAGTATCCTAACTCAAAAAGAAGCATCTTTAAGAATTGTTCACTTTCCATTTTATTTCCATGTTTGGCTGCACTAACCTCAGTATCAAATTGTACTAGATTCACAGAAATCCGTCGGCTAAAGTAGCACATGATTGGAAGTAAGTTTGCGAAAAAATACATTGAGGCATCAACAACAGCAACACATTACATTTGTATAGCGCCTTTCACATCGGGAGGATATCCCAAGGCTCAAGTACTCCCAAAAGCAAACAACAGCCTATATATAATGCTCTGAGTTAAGTTGAGATTTAACATGATACTCTGCATATGCCTTTATAGACAACAACTATCATAGGGTCAGCGCAGAATGTATGCTTTGATTTTGTTTTTCAACTCTCTTCAAGATTAAAGTTGCCGAACCATCTGGATTGTGATGCGTCTATTTTTAGCACTGAATGCATTAGCTCACTGTTTCAACTACAATACAACACTGTGTGTGGCAGCCATATGATTCATGTAGTTCAGAGAAGGTGCAGTTAGGAAACCCACTAAAACTATTGACTCCGTAAATGTCATTGCCTGCTTATAGTAAGCTTTGTTCAAAAGTGCTTTGCTACTTATTTTATATGCTTAGTTTGCAAACATACTGTTGGTTATTTTCTTACAATGTGCCGTGCACCAGATGGCATGTGTGCAAGTTAAGCTTGTTGATCTGTATTTTCCATCGGGCATTTCTTTCCTTTGTCATGTATATGAGACATTAGCTGAGTGAGGAAAACATAGCTTTGCAGGTGTTTTTCTGCTGAGCAATGTTCTGTTCCTGAGAGCTTGCTGCCAATGCTTTTGAATGTGTTCACTGGTTGTGCCCCTTTATCCAAAAATCTCCAAGAATGGAGATATCGAATGTGCGGTCAAAGAAGTCTTATAATAATAATATAATAATCCTTGCGTTTGATATAGCGCCTTATCACGTCTTCGAGATGTCTCAAAGCACTTCACAGAATATACCGTAAAGTGAAATGATTGCAGATTTTCTGGGCGAGTAATAATAATCATACTTACATTTGATAAAGTGCCTTAATGTCAGGACACCTCAAAGAACTGGAGAGCTACAGGATATACTGCGAAGTATAGTGATATACTAGACTATATATTATATATATAAAAGATGTCGGCGACTATCTTGACATAGGCTTTGAAAGTGTGAAGGGAGGGGGCGAATGATAGTGTAGTCAACATCTTCAAGATAACTTAGACCTTTTTTTTGCATACTGAAATGTGGAACATCTGAAAACATAATGTAAATGCCAAAAAGTGTTCTTAAAACTCACATTCCTATTTTAAAATTCTTGACTTTCTTGGTTTCTTTACATCTTTTCTTCCAGAAATTCTTTCTTGCCTTTGATTTATTTTTTCAATTTGTTGCAAATTACAATAGATTTCTTTCCCTGTGTAAAGTTCAAAAATGCTTTAGTTATATAGGAAACCTGATGATATGAATGCGGAAACTTGCTCTGGGGTATTTTATTCTTATTTATTAAAGGAAAATGAACTGAATTTTGGAATATGGAAATTACCAGCTTGCATGGTTCACTGATACAGCCCTGTAGTTGATCATCTTAATAGAGCCATTCCTTACTCCATAGCTTAGCATCTCAACCCCTTTGACTGACCCAAGATGATCTGAAATAGTGTGTGGCTATATCCGTATATGAAGCAATGGGTGTGCACTCTCCCTCACTAACTGATTAATGACAAGGTACTGTACACCTCTTGAAAGGTTTACAGTCAGACTGATGGAAGCCCTGACTCAGTTGGTAGCACTCTTGAATCAGAAGGTTGTGAGTTCAAACCTCACGTCAGGAAATTTAACTCTTATTTACTTGTCTGACACCTTCAGTGCTATGCTGGGGGTATGCTGCAATGTTGAAGGTGCTGCCCTTTGGATGATACTTTAAATTGAGCTCCCGTCTTCCTGTTGAGGTGGACTTTGAAGTTCATATTCCAGTATACAAAAAGAGAAGGGAGATTCTCCTGGTGTTCTGGTCAACAATTCCCCCAAATCCAAGTTGGTGATTCAGTTAGTGGCTATTTGTGAGATATAGCTGTGTGCGAATTGACTACAATATGCACAATCACTATACTTCACAGTGTTTCCTGTGAAGTGCTTTGAGATATCCTCCTGAAGTGAAAGGCCCTATATCAAATACTAATATTATTTATTTATTATTATTACTTACTCCTAACAGCCCTCAGACAAGATGCTACTACTGACATCTCTTGCAGACCACAGATCTATACTTGGGTGTATTGTGTTGATGTTGGTTGGTTGTGAAATGTCTGGCATGAAAGCACGCTTCCCTCAGAAATTGAATGTTGACAACATACGGTACACATCTTGAAAGGGATACAATCAGACAGACTGAAGGAAGTTGAGCCTTTTGCATCACTGTTGTGGTGACTTTTAGAAATATTTAAAGTACCATGGACTCTTACTTGAATTGATAGATGTTGTGTGAGAGATTTAACACGCAGACATTGATCTACTGAGAGCTTTGGAAAACTCAGAGCCTTGCTGCAATATCAGTGCATCTGAGGTAGCTGCTGATAATTGCAGTGTGCAGAATGTTAATAACTGGCTGGAAGCAAGTCGAGAACAAAAGAGAGGAGAAATTAGTTTGCAGGATAATTTTGATCAAAGCTTATTTCTGTCTTTGCCTACATAATCTGTGGATAGTCACACACTCTCCTGTGCGCCTTACACAAGTTTAGAATCTAATTTGCAACATCCACAAAGGGAGCAAACCAGATATCCATGACAAGGTGGTATTCTGCTGTCCAGCTTTTTTCAAATTGGTTAGTTTCCAAAATCATAGTTACTCACTTGGTGAATACCCAAATAATGTGGGAAAAACAGAAGTTGCAATTCTTTCTTTCCCCTTTTTTGGGGGAATATGCAGATTAGACTCATTGAGCAGGAATCCATTGAACATTCTTGTTAGTCCATCCATCTGTTCTTGTCTCTTTACCAGCACATTGATTCTCTCACTATGCCATTTCTAATCTCCCGTAAGGAATAGCCCTACCCCCAAGACAATTAATAGCTGTGATGTTGCCTTTCCTGACTTGTCATCATGTTGAACATACTACAAGGCAATATTTGGATTTAATTGAGCACCCTAACACATTGATCCATCTCAAAGCACTTCATAGAGTTTTCTTTTAAAGTGTAGTGAATGTGCATTTGTAGCCAATTTTGCTCACAGCAACATCTCACAAACATTGACCAATGAGTGAGTGACCAATTTTTATGAGGAGAAATGTTGACCAGGACAGTGGGGGAAACTTCTCTTTTCAAACACCTTAATTGGCAGACTGGACCTCAGTTTAATGTTTCACCCACCTGTACAATGCAGTGCATGTCTCATTCTCAGCAGCTAACATTTTATTCAGATATTCCAGAGTGTTTCCACATGTTTTCTATATTCTACTGAAATTCTGGCACTTTTGTGAAAAGTAAATCTATTCTCCGCATCAAGAGGCCAGATCTTTCCCTTAAAGCAGTGCACTCGAGTGTCAACCTGCACCGTGAGTTCATAGTCCCAAGTGTATCATTTCTTGGTGGTAGTTGATCAAGTGGTGTTTGAGAATGTTAGGATCTCACATTTCCCACATGAGTTCTTCACCTTGGCCATGATTAAGGAAGGCAAAGCAAGGCTAGGTGCTCACTGTTAAGGAAAAGATAAATGCCACCAACTGATCCAAGTTTCATTCTGGGTCACTCTGGTTCAACCCCATGTTGGGAATAAGCTCAAATTAAGGTACTCCAGAAGTGCTGCATTTTTGGAAGTGCAGCTTTTCAGAACATTAAGTTGAGGTCCCGTCTTTCTGTTCAGGCGGATGATAAAGATCACATCACTCTAACTGAAAAGAGAAGTGAGTTTCTTCCAGTATTCTGGTCAAGAATCCTCCAGATAAATTGATCATTCACTTTATGCTCTTTGTGGGTCATGGCTGCATGCAAATTAGCTGCCACATTTACCTAAAAAACACATTCTCACTACACATCAGTACCCTGTGAAGTGCCTTGAAATGTTTCAAAGTTATAGGCACTACATCAAATACGAGGGTGATTATCATTTTTGTGAGTGGGTCACCTAATGATGTAGACAAAGTTCTGGGAGCACCAGGTCTTTTAATTTAGGAAATAGTGTTAACACTAGGGGAGCTAGTGAGTGGAAAAGTAATTAAAGTAGAGAGTATATTTTTTTACAAAAGTGCCGGAATTTCAGTGGAATACAGAAAATGTGTGGAAATACTCTCTGGAATAAAATGTTAGGTGTAGATAGCGAGACTTGTCTCCCTTTTTAATCCAGGATTGTTTGCTGACATATCTGATGCACAATATTACAATTCGTCACGTACATGCATCATACATCAGGTACTGTATTGCCAATTTTAAGGTGGTGTCTAGGAGCCAAATGCTACATAAGCTTTGGGGAATGTAGCACAGGAGGTAGGGCAGGCCAGCAGTCAATTAGGAAATTAAAGGGATTTAGAGAAGGAAACTGATCGTCTGGTCCCCACCATCAGTTCCTCATAAGATGAATGCCAAAGCCTGAGTCTTATTCCATTGGTTGAATTGAGTCTTTTGTGGTGTAGATGACAAGCCATGTGATTGTTGGGAATTTCTGTGCTGATGGGTCAACTGATAAATTTTAAAATAATCTTTCCATTTGATGCAGTTGTAAGAAAAGGTTTAATGAACTGGAGTGTTCTCTTTGGAGTTCAACAACAACAACTTGGATTTATACAGCGCCCACCACGCAGGATGGCGCCTCAGAGCACTTCAAGAGTTCAGAGGTTGAAATGGGATATGATAGAGTTGTACAAGATGATG